ATGCATCTGGTACTCATATTTCCTATTCTCTCACATTAGAGAAGCAAGTCTCCTCTTTCAGGTCACGTATCCCACATAAAAGTGCTAAACTAATGCCGTTTAATGACAAATTAATGTCCATGAATAAAAAATACACCTCTAATAGCATAGAGTAATTTGCCATTACAATATCATCATTGGACATGCCCCTGGTTTAATACGATGTATTTAATTCATAACTTAATGAGTGATATATAAAAAGAGAGAGATGAACCCTGCAATTACATTTATGTGAGTCTGTCACCTTATTTGTAAAACCTTAGAGTCATTTACATTCAAATTAGAACAAATGAGTGATTTCACAAAGTGCAATGATAAATGACCACTGCTGCACAAGACAGGGCTGTATTTCCTGTGAAACCGTTAACAGTTCCCCATTATTTGTTAAAAATTACAATGCATATTGCCCAGTGTTGTGTGAATAATGACTTTTTTACTGATTAGGTCACAAGACTAATATGGAGCAAAATAAATAATTTCTTTTCATTTTTGTTCTTTCTGACGCTTTAATTTATTCAAACAAGTGGGCTTACACTGCCACCTACTGCTTAGTGGTGAGTATTGTGGGGATTCCAGAGTCTTTCAAGACAAAACAAAATACACCCCAATCATCTATAATACCAGTTTTGTTGTTTTAAACCTGAAACCTTCCCACCCATCCCAAGTCCAGTGAGACTCCCCTCTGCTCAAATGCTGGCTGGTAAATTACAGGACATGTAATATTTGCACGTACCAACCAGTTCCACTTGACAAAAGAAACACAAATTAAGTGATAAGATGGATAAATATATATATATAGTACACGTCATTATCATTCAGCAAATATCTGAATGAATGAAATCAAGATGCAGTTCCTAGATGGATGTCCAAATGCATGCTTATTGCTTCATGCGTCACACCACCAGCACAGATCAAACATCACAGGCAGTGTGTCTTGTGATTCCCTTCTCCCCTGCCTTTTCAAAATGACAGACAAGCAGGAAAATTGTGTGCTCCATGAAATCTGCCACTTTAAGCAACTGCCACAGGGCAAGACCTACATCACAGTTGCTACCCCTGAACCTAGCACCTTTCAGTCAGCAGATGTTCACAGGTTCAAAAACCAAGTTATGGGGGGAAACAACCTGCCTTTAAAACATTATTTGCCGTGTTGTAAGGACTGCATGAATGCAGACGCTTAACAAAAGCTCCTGCCAGCCCATGTGGATTGTAGCACAGCACCTTTTGTAAGATTAATTCCCTGCACATGTTAAACTATGAATTAGCCTAACTATATAGACTTTAGTTGTATCATAAACTAAGCCCCAGTGTCTAATCAAGTCTTTCTATCAAGGTAATAAAAGCTCCCGGGAAGAAAAACCACAACACTTTCCAGCACTTCTCCTTGCCTGCCAGTAATAATTCAGATAACAGAATGTAAAAATAGAACATATTGCTGTGATTGTTACTGCTTCTTAATAAAGACAACAGCACTGTATCAAAGAGTCACTCTACTGGACTTCTCTACAGCTGTTGCCACCATAAATTCCTGTCCACATTCTAAGAGGGGCATGGGGCGAAAAGAAATCCTGCAAATCTTTCTAGTCCTTCAATTCAGAAATTCAAGATTAAAACCAAACCCTCGGGAATCCAGCAAACTTCAACACAGTTCAGTGTTGCTTAATTAAAACACTGAGCAACTAATGAGTCGGCAAAAGTTCTAAGGAATTCATGACATTATATACCTTCCAGTTCCTAATTCTCTGGCCAGCTAGTTGTCTACATTAGCTGTATCCTTGAGACCAACCTTCATACCACATAGAAGACAATGCAGTAATCTAATACATGAACACCTATGGTTAAATTATACCAATCCAAGAATGGTGGTAGCTGTCTTATTACCTGCAGCTGGTTAAAGGCACCAAGGAACACCTGGGGTTCCAATAACTGGGTCTACAACAACCTGCTCCTTTAGAAAGAGTGCAGCCCCATCTAGGCCAGTTCCCTGGACCTGTGAATAGTTCACCCAGTTCAGATGTCACAGAGAAATAGAGTTGGGCATCATAAGCATATTGATCATAAAGGTAAAGGTAAAGGGACCCCTGACCATTAGGTCCAGTCGTGACCGACTCTGGGGTTGCGGCGCTCATCTCGCTTTACTGACCAAGGGAGCCGGCGTACAGCTTCTGGGTCATGTGGCCAGCATGACTAAGCCGCTTCTGGCGAAACCAGAGCAGTGCACGGAAACACTGTTTACCTTCCCGCCGGAGCGGTACCTATTTATCTACTTGCACTTTGACGTGCTTTCGAACTGCTAGGTTGGCAGGAGCTGGGACCGAGCAACGGGAGCTCACCCCGTCACGGGGATTCGAACCACCAACCTTCTGATCGGCATTCCTAGGCTCTGTGGTTTAACCCACAGCACTACCCGCATCCCTATATTGATCATACCTCACTCCAAATCTCCTAATGACTAATTCCAAATATGATTTGATGTTAAACAGCACTGGAGATAATATGGTGTCCTTCAGCACCTGTAGCTCCAGAGCCAGGGGGGATGAGAAACACTTGTACAACGTTATCTTCAGGATTGGCCACACTAGTGTCTCCTTCAAGGTGGAAGGCACCACCCCACCCCCACTTAAAAACACCTAGCTCCCCACCTCCAATCTAGCTTCAATCAGCCATGAAAGACAAGGATCAAGAGGATACGTGGTTGGGTGCATACTTGCAAGCACTTGGCACATGTTGTTGGGCTGCAAGAACTGAAACTGATCTCACATTGAAAGGTTTGATGGAGCATTGGAAACCTTACTAGAAGTTGTGTCAACCATGGCATCAAGCTCACTACCAAGGCAGGTGACTGCCCTCAAAACACGCAGCAAGGAAATCACAAAGGGTCTCTGAGGTGTCCTGGGTGGGTTCCATCTACCAATATAAGTCTCAAGAGCCCACAGACCACCCTGAAGAGCTCCACTTGGCAATTACTCAATGATCCAATGGAGTAGGCCTGCTTCATTGTTTTCATCACCACTAAGTAGGCACCATTATGTGCTCTAACTCATGCTTGGTCAACTTTGCAGTGGTACTTTCACCATCTGCTCTAGCAGTCATGCAGCCTATTTAATAGCACATAGCTCCGCAGTATACCAGGGGACAGGATTTACCCCACAGTGTCAGAGAGGACACTATCTCTGATTTCCATACCACCAATGGTATGCATGCTGCAGTCTCTCTTGACAACAGTTCCCAACACCACACTACAGTAAACCAACACAGCTGGGAAATCTGCTGGGCAGTAGGCTAGGTGGTAAACCAGCAAGGCCAGTCCCCAGAAGGAGAAGTCAACTCCTATCCCATATCCTCTAGTCTATGTTGATGCTGCACAAAGTACCAGACAAGCAAAGCTGGGCAAAATCCACTCCCCCCAGCTCACCCACCCAGGTCTTGGAGATAAACGCCAGATTGGCTCCTTCATCCACTATCAAAACTAGCAGACACATAATGGAAAGGCATCTGAATCTTATCTCTATACATAAAATGCAATACAGAAGCATCAACATTTAGAATGAGAAAACGGGGGTGACTTGATGAAGGTTTAAAAGATCCCAAATGGACAATGTTTTTCTTGAAACCAAGCCACAAAATAGTGGCAAGCTTCCAAGCTTTTCAATAGTTTTCATCAAGGCAAGATGTTCACAAGAGTAATGCAACAACAACAATAAAAAGCGTTAGGGTTGGTTAATGTTATTCTAGATTCGCTGTACCCTATACAAACCCTATGGCAAATATAGTGGGGGGGGGATCGCCACAAGGGGAAACAGTTATCTCGCCATTTCAAACTGCAGCAATAGATCAGATGAGTGCCATTGGTTCTACTTCTCTTCCTTTCAACCCAGTAATCTGCAGGCAAAAAATAGAGGGAAAAGAGCACCCTAAAGCCATAGAAATGATGGGCTGAGACAGCCATTTGCTCATTTTTTGGCAGCCCTGTAAGTAACTTCTATTTTGAAAGAGGGGGGACCATTATATTGCAGAGGGGGTAGCTAATCATTTGTGAAGTTGCAGACACCCACCAGCGAGTGCTCCAGATGCTCTGTGAACCACCTTTCGCAAAGCATTCACTTTTGTGACAAAAGCACTGAGAAAAGAACTATTACAATTCAGTGAATCTTTCTTTATTTTATGTTTTGCAGAAAAGGAACAGTTTCCAGGTCCCAAAAATGCTGTTTTAAAATGACTTTGCATTCTACGCACCAAAATGTCTTTATCTGAAAAGGTTGGGGTAGATCCCTGTTGTTGAAACAATGCTCTGCAGGAACCCTGCAATATAGCTGTTTACTTGTACAGAAAGTACATAGGCAATATTGACCCTCTTTAGCCTAAAGAATGGAGAGGAAGGTGCACAGATGGAGGCAGGAGAAGGGTACTTAAAGCACCACCTAAGCCATGAAGGTCTAAACATAGCACTATGAATTGGACCTCAAAACAGACTGGAAACCAGAGCATTTGGCATAGCACAGGTGAATCATTCTCATAATGTGTATAGATGTACTTGTGTTTATTGTAATTGTTTGAGTGTTTTGATTGTGTTTGTAAGTCACTTTGAGAAATTTATATGAGTAAACTGACAAAATAATAATAATTATGTCCAGTTCCAGTTAGTAATCTAAACAGCAATATCCTGCACTAATGGAAGTGTTTGAACAATCTTCAAAGGCAGCCACATGTGCCACACATTACAGTTGTCTTCTCTGGAGAACACAGGGGCATATACCTGATTTCTGCCTCCCCATTCCCAAAAGAAATCCGTCCTGTACAGATCAAAGGCTAAACAGAACTCCAGTTCAAAGTCTTAATCAAGGTATTGTGTAGTTATTGCTTCCTGTCATAGAGCTGAAGGTGCTCATCCCAACCTCACACATGTAACACAGACTTAAGAATTAAGCTAAGTGCAACCAAATCAAGCCCCTTAGCCTTACCTGGATAAGATAGTGAGAACATAAACTAAGCATTTCCAGCAGCTGCAGATGGCTCCCTGCAGCAAGCACATCTTGAATCACACCTGGTTCCAAGAGTACCTATATTGGGGAATAAAGAGAAAGAGAACTTGTAAGGAACTTGTCCTTGAAAGTGCTCTGCAAAATATTCAATGAGATATTTGAAGCTGTCAATTCTTACAACACTCCAGGTGCATAAAGTTTTGCATTTTGTTTGAAAACCCTTTCAAACAAAAGGTTTAACTACAGTTAAAAAGCAGGCACTGTTGTTTCTCCTCACAACAGACAGGAAGGAGAGAGAAGCACTGCTACTTATTTCTGTAGCCAGCAAATATTATTAAATTACACCTATTAACAACATTTTCCTTACAGCAGATTAATACAACCAATATGCTGAATGGTGTCCACTTATTGCTTTAGCCCATGTTTTCTCAGCAGCTCATGGTGAGGGGAGTCATCGGGCTAATTTGCCTTGCGGAGAAGCTGCCAGATTTGCATATTACTACAAACATATCCCCCTTCATGGATCACTGCCTTGCCGTGGCGAAGGGGCTTGAATAACTCAGAGAAGCTATGAGCTATGCCGTGAAGGGCCACCCAAGATGGACAGGTCATAGTGGAGAGTTTTGACCAAACGTGATCCACCTAGAGCAGGAACTGGCAAGCCACTCCAGTATCCCTGCCAAGAAAACTCCATGGACAAAGACAACAGGCATATAAAAGTTATGACACTGGAAGATGAGCCCCTCAGGTCGGAAGGTGTCCAACATGCTACTGAGGAAGAGCGGAGGACGAGTACAAGTAGATTCAGAGCTGATGAAGCGGCTGGGCCAAAGCTGAAAGGTCGCTCAGTTGCGGATATGCCTGGAAGCGAAAGGTTTTCCCAGTAGTGATGTATGGAAGTGAGAGCTGGACCATAAAGAAGGCTGATCGCCAAAGAATTGGTGCTTTTGAATTATGGTGCTGGAGGAGACTCTTGAGAGTCCCGTGGACTGCAAGATGATCAAACCTATCCATTCTTAAGGAAATCAGCCCTGAGTGCTCACTGGAAGGACAGATCCTGAAGCTGAGGCTCCAATACTTTGGCTGCCTCATGAGAAGAGAAGACTCCCTGGAAAACCCTGATGTTGGGAAAGATGGAGGGCACAAGGAGAAGGGGATGACAGAGGACGAGATGGTTGGACAGTGTTCTCAAAGCTACCAGCATGAATTTGACCAAACTGTGGGAGGCAGTGGAAGACAGGAGTGCCTGGCGTGCTCTGGTCCATGGGGTCAGGAAGAGTCAGACACGACTAAACGACTAAACAACAACACAAACATATCAACACTGATCACACCGTTACCAAAAGAAGTCAAATATTGTCAATATGTCCACCTTGTGTGCATATTCACTAGAATGTTCAACAGATAATTTATTTGTTTTGTTTCTAACTTTGCACAAATGTAGCTACTTTACACTACCACAGAGATATCCCCCATGTTTTTGTCATCTACATGAAGCTTTGCACATTAGCAGTTTTGAGATCTGCAATTGAGCTAGTAAGGACCATAAACAAAACAAAACAAAACAAACCAAACAAACAAACAAACAAACAAACAGAGGGGGGATGTGAACGTAACACATTCCAAGTAATTGTTGTGGGAAATTACAGTCAAACGTTACTGTGCATGAGTGCTTGTTAGTGCATGAAGGGGTTACGACCATAGAGCTCTATTCCTAGATTCAGCTAGGTATTCCCCCTCTTTTCCATGTGGAAATGAAGCTGCTTCCCTTCCTGTTCCTCACTCCTCTCTTCCAGCCATGTAATCCACCAGGACGGATGTATCTGAACTTCATCCAAGTTCAGACTGCATACTTGTAGCTATATTGTGTATTTTGCACCCATGAGTAATCTACTTGTGTTCTCCTTGCTGCTGCATGGAACCATGTGGGAATCAGACCCTTGGATTTAGTAAGTAAAGCTGGGAAAATAAAACCTTCTTCACCTGACACTGTAATATCAGCATAGGTACCAGGTGAGCCTTTCTGGGGAGAAATGCCACAGTTAATGAAATTTTAACACCGACCACAAATGACCTACTGTAACTTAAGAGGGTAGGGCACTGATTCTCAGCGCATGGACAGGTACATTTGGGAAAGGGTTCTTCAGGCCTCTAGATCCCAAGCCATATAAAACCAGCTCTTGTGCTTAGAAGAAAACTAACAAGTGAAGCTGTTGCATTCTGCTGCCCATTCTGCCTTAGTACCAGCTAGAGGGGCAAATCTGTGGCTTGTTCAGGCTGCAGGAGACAGCCTGTCTGACTCTCTTGTGTCAGTCACATGCTTGAGAGTGGGGTAGAGGCAGGCTGTCATTTAAGTGCTGTGCTGCCACCTCTCTCCCTGTCTCTCCATGTGAATTTATAGCTGATCCACCTGTTTGTGGGGTTTTGTTTTGCCTATTCCATACTGAATAGCTGGGTGCTAGGTATCAGATGGTCTGCTGTACTGTTAATTCAGCTAATCTGATCTTCAGTTTGGTTGATTTTGACGGTTCAGGAAGGAAAGTAGTTGCATTTTAGCCTTTGGGCACCTTTCTGGGTGATGGGCTGCCCCCGAGGCTTACACTCTGGGCTCTGCATCTCTGTGGTAGGATAGGGGCCTTGAGGCTAAACTGCTTCATCTGACCAAAGCTATGGGGCATTGAGTGGGTGGGGATGGAGCAGGACAGGCATTCCTACTCACTGTCATGGGGTAACCTTGACAGCCTTGCCTCCCCTTCCTGCAGGCAGGAATTTTGGTCTCCCCAGTGACTGCTGTTGTTCAGGTTCAGGTTTGCTCCTGCAATAATGTTTTCCCTCAACAAGGTTTTTTATGGGTTTTACTCTTAACTGAAGTGCCCCTAGTTCAACACAGCTTCTGTGTCTGTCTCTCTATTCGGCGATCAGGTCACAAATATAACACAAGTGCCAGGGAGGAACCAGACAGGTGTGTTCTGAACTAAAAGAAGTTTATGAGATGTCAAAGGAATCCCTGCACTGTGGTAACCTACCTGGAATTAACAGCCTATGGATCATTCTGATAAGCTATCTCTGTCCTGGAGAAGTTGTAGCTCAGGGGTAGTCAACATGGTGCCTTTTCAGATGTTACTGGGCTCTCGTCAGCCCTGGCCATTGGCCATACCAGCTGGTGCTGATAGAAGTGGGAGACCAAAGCCCTCTGGAAGGAACCATGTTGGCTACTTCTGTTGTAGCTGGTGCAGTAGGTTTAGCTGGCAAAAGGCATGACATTCAACAGGGGCTTTCAGTATCAAGGTTGGCTCAGTCACTCCCCAACTGCAAGCCTGATCTTTTAAGGCTGATCTTTGGTCAAATGCAGCAGCCATCAACAGTACCTCATGAAAAGTACTAGATAAACAAACTTAGGTCAAGTTAAGAAAACAACCAGCTAAATATAAAAGGACTGCATTAAATATTATGCAGTGACTGCTAAAAAGCTAAAGACAGATTCAAAACATAACCTGACATCATAACTTAATACGGTGGTACCTCTAGTTATGAACTTAATTCGTTCTGGAGGTCTGTTCTTAACCTGAAACTGTTCTTAACTAGAGGCGTGCTTTCTTGCTGCCGCTGCGTTGCCAGCACATGATTTCCGTTCTCATCCTGGGGCAAAGTTCTCAACTCTAGCTCACTCTTCCAGGTTAGCAGAGTTTGTAACCTGAAGTGTTTGTGACCTGAGGCATTTGTAACTCGAGGTACCACTGTATACACTTTAAAACATGATCTAATAGCTCTAGACAGTATCCTAAATATAATTGCTAAAAATTATTATATAATTCATAGGGAGATGACTATTTTTGTATTGAGAATTTCCCATAACCTTACAAGTGTGTCTAACAACCATTTCTAATGAACACTGCTTCTGCTGAACAGAAATAATGAAGTATTTCCACACAGATTTCCTGTTCCCATTTTAATATCCAATCCTGCAACACCAGCTGTTTTCACTAGAGGTCTCAAGAAACCCACTTTATACAGAAAAGGAACGTTCTACTTTCCTGCTGTTTAAAGAAATAAATGAAACTGAGAAATAACAGAACACATATTTTAAGGAGATTGAATGTATTACCTATACAATCAAAGTATTATCTATCTGATAAATTGTTTCACATACAACACAATCCAACATGATTTACTAACTCCTTCTAAGATGATGAACCAGAGGGCTGACTCACAACAAATGAGCAAGTCTCCTATAGCATACCAAGCACTGCACTCTGTGGGGCATTAACAGGGGTCATTTACATTATCCTATAGCCGTCTACTCAGCAGTATGTCCTGTAGAGTTTTTTGGGACTTGCTATCCTTTGGCACTCCAAATGTTGCTGAACTGCAACTCCCATCATCCCTGGCCACTGGGCCATGCTTGCTGTGGCTGATGGGAGTTGTAGTTCAGCAACACTGGAAGGCCAAAAGTTCCCCACATCTGTTGTACAGGATTGTAGTCTTCTCTCTCTCATTCTTCCTACATACCTCCCATGTCATCACTATTTCATCCTGGTAAGAAACCTGTCACATAAGTTAGGCTGAAAGAAAGTGACTGGCCAAAGGTCATCCAGTGAACTTTATAGCTGAGTATGGATTTGAATGCGTTTCCCAATGCTGAGACTGTCTTTATTTAGCTCTCTGCAGAGGACCTGCAATATATAGCTCAGTTGGTTAGAGCACGGTACTGATGATTCCGAAGTTGCAGGTTTGATTCCCAAAAGGGACAGCTGCATAGTCCTGCATTGCAGAGGGATGAACTAGATGATCCTCAGCATCCCTTCCAACTTGATGATTCTAAGTACCTATAAAGTTCACGTATGTAGGGACAGCCCTAGACTAAGGTGCACCCCAGTTGAGTATTTATTAAGCTCTGGTTACACAGATCTTTAAAGCCCTAACCTGTGCCTAGAAATGTGACACAATTGGAAGTCTGGACGAGCCCCAACTCTCAAAAAGCCAGCTGGCCAGACCACTGTCCATTTGCAAGTTACAAGATGACAGCATTTTCAGGTGGTTTTCTCAGCATGTTTGGTATTTCAATCAATATGCATAAACCCACTCCTCTGCATGTCCTGTTAAATTTGGAATGGTTTACCTCCAGGTAAAGTTAATGAAGATGGGGCTACAGAATGGCTTCATCATCATCAAAACAAGAACAAAACATATGTTGGAAAAGAACAAGGATAATAAATGAGGCATCCCCATTTCCCTTCCCCTGGTTGAGACAGAAGAGCAGGATATTGGACCGTACACGGCTCAGGTTTGCTTTGAGCAAAGAGTTATAATTTTTTCATCTCAGTGAGGGCTGTTGTGAAAAGAGCTTTCTATTTACTGGTGGGAGTGGTAGGCACTGGAAATTCTGTTCCAGAAAGAAAATATCCTATTCCCTTGGTAATACTGTACTGATGGACCAAAACCTATTGTGACTAAGACTTTTCAGAGCAGTGTGTAGGAGGCACATGCACAAATCCAATTATTTGCTAACAGCATTTCTGCCTTACACCCACGCAATACTTTGAAATCTTCACCATTAACACTTCAATGGTTTTGAGTCACCTCATGGGCACACAGGCTTCTCACTGCTCTGACAGCAGCTACTAACATTTGAAAGAGCTGTCTCTCAGGGAAGGCATTCCAGCAAATGTAGAAAAACCTCCTGGGCTCTTGGCACACATGGTTAAAATAATACAATACATATCCCTAACAAACAGTGTCTTTTAAAAGGCACAACTCCAGTTGATTACATGGGACTGCACATTTCACTTATGTTAAAATGTGCTCAAGGTGAGTATGATTATAACTGATTTTTTCAAAGGCCAGCCTATTTCACTTAGCCCTTAATTCCCAAATATCTGAAAGACTGTATTTCCCTACAGACCCCCCTGAGTATTAAGATCAACAGTCAATGTCCTTTTAAATGTGATGTGGAAGGGGAGATTATTCGGTTGTCTTTGTTCTTATTTTTACTGGTCTCCCCATCATCCAGATACTGCTATCTCAGCTGCATCTGAAAATCACATCAGTTTCTAAAGTGCTTTGCAATGTGGCATAAAGGACTGCTCTTTTAGAGTCCCCTGTAGACAGAAGTAGAAAGCTGTGCAGTTCTTTCGATCCTGGCCAATGTGTTTTTACATCCTCCCTGAAAGTGTGATGTTGATCTAGAACTGAAATGCAAACCTGTTGGAGAAACTGGACATGGAGGATGAGATAAGCCAACAGGTGCAAGGCCAGCCAAGCCAGTTGCCATGGTAACATCCCAGTGCCGTCTATTCTAACGTGACCCCGTCTGTTTTATATGCCTGTTAAGGATTTTAGTACTATACCTGTCCAGTGTACGCGAAGTCCAGAGCTTGCTTTAAACCTATACTTGTGATGCCGTGTAAATTCACCTCATCTGCGCCACTTTCAACCATACAAAGGCTGAACATCGCCTAAGAAAAGAAAAGAAAAAATTGTCTACATTACATTGAGCAAACTTGGATTTCCTATTAAACATAAGGGACTTTTGTTGCTGCTTTGCTGTTCCCTAATTAAGATAGCTAGTAATACTGCAGTCATTAATCAGTATGCAATTTATTCCAAAAGTAATTTATACTGGTTTCATTTCATAACCAGATATATGTGACAAGCCTGTGATCTTTCAGAAAAACTACTGTGTTTGGACCCTTCCAACTGAAAAGCAATATCCTGCCCCCCCCAACACCCTCCAAATCACTCTGTGGTCTTGGGCAAGTCTCCCTCCATCTCTCAACACCCTACCCCAACCATCAGTAAGAGGATAACAAAACAATACTGCAGCGAGCATTTTTACTCCCATCCTTCGGTTAAATAGAGTAAGACTTGTAAACGGGCCATTGTGGGCATACAACCCACAGCTGCTACACATACAGTCCCCATGTGAGATCCTTAAGATCCCTGCTGGATTGCAAACCTTCTAGCAGCTCCCTGCACTCCCACAGATAATCACATGGGAGTAGGGAGGGCAAGTGGGAGTAGGGAGGGCCCTGCACCTTTTCATAGTTCTGCAGAAGAGAACATTTCAGCAGATGTAGGTGAAATGCAAGCTGCATCTACTGAAACCCCCTCTTCTGTTCAGCTATAAAAAGGTGCAGGAGCCCAGCCCCCACTTTTTTATTCAGCCACCCTAAATGGGCACTCCTGGCAACATGAATTAGTGACAGAAGCATTTAAAAGTCTTAACAATTACTACACTATGTAACCAATTTACAACTGTACTGCAAATGGTAGTTACTAATTAAATTCCATGCCGTTTAAGCCTGAATGGAAACACCGTGATTATTTTTTATTTGCAGCATAAAATAGAAGATACGGGCTGTGCTTTTAATACATCGGAAAGTCAACTATTTATGATACATCCATTTTTTTAAACAAAGAAATGTGATAAAAACCATTATCTGCAAACACAATTTAATGACTTCATAACCTCCAGTGATATCTATTCAGAGACCTCTTTTTGTTTACTGATGAAATACCATCGTTAATTACAGCCTAACAGTTTTCTGAATGATATGAACACACAGAAATGTCCCTGATTAAATCTGTTTTCTAACTTGAAGATCAGTGAACTTTTCAACACTAGTATATTCTGTAGACAAAACAGACCACTTTTGCCAGGGGCGGGGGGAAGAGTGTGCATTTTTTTTAATATTACTGTATTTTTCCATGTATAAGATGCCCCCATATGTATAAGATGATCTCTCTCTTTTTGATCCCCAAATTAAGAAATCAGTATTTTAAACATCAGACAGAACAACTTTTCATTAAGCATTTTATCCACTGGATTTTCTCATTCCCCATCCCAGTTGAATTTATTGAGCTTCGAGACAGAGATAAGGAATCTGTGTGTCTCTAGGTACTGGATAATAGCTCCCAACTGCTGGTTGGGGCTGATGGGAGTTGTAGTCCAAAACATATAGAAAAGGACCAGGAAGTTATTTAAAATCAGGATATAATTTGTAAAAATTTAAAACCTAAAAATTCTTATGTTTGGGAAAAGGTAAGTTTTACTGCCCTTTCTGCTGAGGGTGATGTGAGTTTTTATTTATTTGCTTTTTTTTTAGGTTTTCAATAACACAAGATTACCCCCATGCACTCAAAACCTTGACCCCTTTGAGAAGTAAGAAAGAGGTTGGGCAAAAGTCATGTTCTATTCATTCTTGCCACAACCCTGGGCAGTAAAGCTCAAGATACACAGTCATTGATAAGCAATTCCTCATGATTTTTTATCTGTGCAACGTGTGTGAACAAACCATAGAGGCAGGTCACTGATAGGGTTCCTTCCTATATACTAAGATTCTCCTTTGTACTTGCCAGGCAATATTTGCAAGAGGATGCCTTCATCCCCACCCACAAAGTTTGCTTATGCACACAGTTATTGAACAGATTGTGAAGAAGCCACAGTGGAACTACTCCCACACCACTTCTTGTAAGTGAAAGATCAGCACGGAGGCATAAGCAGAGTTCAGGCAAACATTTAAAATGCCAACTGGCATGATGAAGGCAACATATGGCGATTCTGCCTGCCAGCCCCATGACTAGTCATTTGAGTGCTCCGAATTCTTGCCAAGATCACAGCTCACCGCCTCAGCCCAAGATTCCATATATTTTCCAGGACATTGTTGTTGTTGTTTAGTCATTTAGTCGTGTCTGACCCTTCGTGACCCCATGGACCAGAGCACGCCAGGCACTCCTGTCTTCCGCTGCCTCCCACAGTTTGGTCAAACTCATGTTAGTAGCTTCGAGAACACTGTCCAACCATCTCGTCCTCTGTTGTCCCCTTCTCCTTGTGCCCTCAATCTTTCCCAACATCAGGGTCTTTTCCAGGGAGTCTTCTCTTCTCATGAGGCGGCCAAAGTACTGGAGTCTCAGCTTCAGGATCTGTCCTTCCAGCGAGGACTCGGCTGATTTCCTTAAGAATGGATAGTTTTGATCTTCTTGCAGTTCATGGAATTCTCAAGAGTCTCCTCCAGCTACTATTATTATTTTACTCTACCTTTCTGTAAAGGTATTCAGCTGTTAAATCAACAACCACCACATCTTTAAAAGCAGCACTACACTAACCAGACTAGAACAACAAACTAAAACAGCAGCAGCAGTTCTGAGAGCATCCACTTAAATAAAAATCTTCACCACCCACCTAAGAACAAGGAGTGGTAGAAACAGGTGTACCAATCTTGGGAACTTGCTGAAAAGGCCACATTACAAGTACCCACATACTGATCACAGTAGCATCTGAAGAAGGGTCTTGTGGGTGGGGGGCAAGTTCCTGGGCAGCCTCATATGAAGGAGTGAGGTTCTGTAAATATTCTGATCCCTGACTACTTAGTGCTTTAAAAGCACAAAACAGCACCTTGAATTGAGCCCAGAAACCCAGTGAAAAAGGTTTTCAAAAAGTTGTAACCAGACACATTCCACCTATATTTTGAACCATATGAAACCAATTTTTCTTCAAGAACAGCCCCAAGCAGACCACATTACATTGGTCTAGTCTGAGGTGACAAAGCACCTGAATGATTGACACCAAGTCTAGTTTCTCTAGGAAAGGATTGGAATCTAAGGCGAAGTCGGCAGAACACATTCCTGCCCACCACACAGCTACCTGGCAATCCCAGGAGAATATTTGGGATCTGGAAGGATTACTACTTCTGGAGGAGTACAAATCTACCTTGTCTCCAAAATTATAGGAAAAACTGTAATCTTGTCAACAGCCTCTAACCACAGTTCCAAAAAAAAGGGGGGGGTTATATTTTCGAAGAAAACTTTCAAGCTGCTTTTACCTAGTGTACCACCTACAATTAATCTCAGCTTTGCTAATAGTAATAATAATAATAATAATAAATTTATTATTTGTACCCTGCCCATCTGGCTGGGTTTCCCCAGCCACTCTGGGCGGCTTCCATAGAAACCAAAAATACACTAAAATATCACAGATTAAAAACTTCCCTTAACAGGGCTGCCTTAAGATGTCTTCTGAATGTTAGGTAGTTATTTATCGCTTTGACATCTGATGGGAGGGCTTTCCACAGGGCGGGCGCCACTACCGAGAAGGCCCTCTGCCTGGTTCCCTGTAACTTTGCTTCTTGCAATGAGGGAACCACCAGAAGGCCCTCGGCGCTGGACCTCAGCGTCCGGGCAGAACGATGGGGGTGGAGACGCTCCTTCAGGTATACTGGGCCGAGGCCGTTTAGGGCTTTAAAGGTCAACACCAGCACTTTGAATTGTGCTCGAAATGTACTGGGAGCCAATGTAGGTCTTTCAAGACTGGTGTTATGTGGTCTCGGCGGCCGCCCCCAGTCACCAGTCTAGCTGCCGCATTCTGGATTAGTTGTAGTTTCCGAGTCACCTTCAAAGGTAGACCTTCAAAGGTAGAAAACTACCATGTGTGTGATCTGTTTAGTGCTGGAGAAAGATCCATTACGTTTGCTTTTTATAAGCCAGGAATCACCCACAATTTGTTTATTTGTCCAAGCAGCTGACAGCACAACCTGAAATCTGTCAACCATCTAGCAGTGGCCAATTAAATTAAGTCTACAGAAGGAATCCTAGAATCATGTAATTGTGGAGTTGGAAGGAACCCTGAGGGGGTCATCTAGTTCAACCCCCCCCCACAATGCAGCAATCTCAACTAAAGCATCCATGGAAAGATGGCTATCCAACCTCTGCCTAAAAACCTCCAAGGAAGGAGAGTCCACCACCATCTGAGGAGGTCTGCTTCAGCTCTTACCATCATAAAGTTCTTCCTGACGTTTAGTCAGAATCCCTTGTGACTTGAAGCCATTGGTTCAGGTCCTACCCTCCGGAGCAGGAAAAAACAAGTTTGTTTCCATCTTCCAGGTGACAGCCCTTTAGATATTTGAAGATAGCTATCCTATCTCCTCTCAGTCTCCTCTTATCCAGGCTAAACATACCCAACTTCCTCAACCGTTCCTTATAATGCTTGGTTTCCAGACGCTTGATTGTCTTGGTTGCCCTCCTCTGAACACATTCTTCTTAAATTGTGGCACCCAAAACTGAACACAGGTGTGGTCTGACCAAAGCAGAATCAAGCGGTATTATTACATCTTGTGTTCCTTTCCTAACACTGTTATAACTGGGGAGTCTGCTGCTTTTTAGGGGGAATCTTTGTCTCTCCAGATGTTAATCTGTGATATTTTACTGTATCTTTGGTTTCTATGGAAGCCGCCCAGAGTGGCTGGGGAAACCCAGCCAGATGGGCGGGGTAAATAATAAATTGTTGTTGTTGTTGTTACTGAACTACAACCCCCACCAGCCTCAGCAAGCATGGCTAATGGTCTGGGACAATGGGAAGTGTAGTTCAGCAACACCTGGAGGGCCACAGGTTCCCCATATCTGCTTTAACATCACGTCAGCATTTCACATCGCCCAGTTCCTCTAGCCTGATGACTAGCTCTGCAGCACTTGAAATTTGCTTGTGACATTTTGGTTAGTTCTAACAAACATGGCGCCCCACTTTACATTTTGGTGTGTGTGTGTTTCCTGTATGTGAGTCCAAAACTATGCTTTTTATGTGTTCAACTTACAAATTTTACTGAAGGAAATAAGTGTCCTAAATAAAACTAGGGAAGACAACTGCATGTCTTCTTCCAGTGTTCCAGATCACTTGCCTTTTCAGGCCTTAAGGGAAGTTAAAAAACAAAACAAAACTTAATGCTTTAAACTGGAAAAACTACTATTGAACCAGAACTTCACAAAGCATACATTTAAGTTAACTCAAAATATGATCTCAAAGAGTAAAAGGTTAAAGGTAAAGGTACCCCTGCCCGTACGGGCCAGTCTTGACAGACTCTAGGGTTGTGCGCCCATCTCACTCAAGAGGCCGGGGCCAGCGCTGCCACAGAACACTTCCGGGTCACGTGGCCAGCGTGACAAGCTTCATCTGGCGAGCCAGCGCAGCACACGGAAACGCCGTTTACCTTCCCGCCAGTACGCGGTCCCTATTTATCTACTTGCACCCGGGGGTGCTTTCGAACTGCTAGGTTGGCAGGCGCTGGGACCGAGCAACGGGAGATACAAAGTAGTTAAAATAAAATAGACTGCGTTAAGTGTGGAACAGGGAGCCCTAGGCTCACACCCACTGCACAACTGTGTACACACCCTATTTTAGTAAATACAGTGGTACCTCTACTTACATGTCCCTCTTGTTATGTATCCTTCGGGATATGAATGCAGCAAACCCAGAAGTATATTTCTGGGTTTCACCGCGTGCGCATACGCAGTAGCACTCTATCGCGCCGCGCGCATGCGCAAAACAGGCACCTCCGGTTGCGGAAACCTCGGAATCTGACTAGAGCTCCAGAACGGATCCCATCCACAACCAGAGGTACCACTGTACAGGAGCACATACCTACAAACATGTAAATGCCTACCTTTAAATACTACATATATGTCAAATAGATTTCCCAGTTTTGTTTCACATTCCTATATTCACTTATCTAGTTTTAAGCCCCATTGAACCTAATGTGGCTTACTTTTCAGTAGACATTAAAAAAAGCAACCAACTTGTCCTGTGAAGTATTTGGTCAGACCATGATCACTGTTTACACAGGCAAAAAAAAATTGGGAAGATTTCAATACTACTAATTATCCAAAGATCTATGGTGTTCTAAAAACAGAGCTGATGGACATAAACATATTACTATATTAACTTACTCTGAAGTAGTCACTGCATGCTGCTAGGACTGCCTTGTGGGCATGGAATTTCTGCTCTTCCGCTATAAGAGTTATATCACAGAGGATCCCATCACTTCTTTGCTGGTTCAGAGCAGCCAAGACAGCATCATTATGAGAACTAGACTGGCAAAGCCTCTGGCCAGTCAGCATATCTTGAAAACTGCCAAAGATGAAGAAATAATCACACTCACAAGCATGAAAATACCAAGAGTGAAAGGCATGCATATGTTTTCTACTTGTTTCATTTCTAATTACGTCAGTCAAGCATACAATCCTGCACATATTTACTCAAGACAAAAAAAAGTGCCATTGAATTGAATCAAACTCTGAAGTGAGAGTAGGATTATAAATCGGATGATTTGGTACTACTGACACAGGTTAGAAATGGGTTTATTATTATTTCCCCACTCTTGTGCTGTAACCAAGGGTCTATAGCATCACAGTGTGGCAGGGCTATTATTATGGCCCACAATATAAAGATGGACTTAAATCTTTATGTACCACAGCATCACTCTGCAAGACATTCACAATGTGGCCATTATCTCACAGCTTCAACTGTCCTAGCTATAAAAATAGGCGTATTATTGCTGTGAATTGAGGATTAATCCAATTTACTAGGATCCCTCCCAGCCCTCTCAGCCTAATGACTTTAACTGTAGAAGAACCACAATTGCTGGGGCCAACAGTGTAAGAAGCCAGTTAGGCAAATTTAGCGTGACAGATTCACTTTTTTAAATGAGGATTGGCACTGAATGACTGTCTTTTGCAGAAATAATTAAATGGCCAGAGACTTTTGGAAGGCTCTTATCTTCAGCAGGCCTCTGCAGGGTCAGACCAAAGGCCCAACTCATCCAGCATCCTGTTTCTCCCAGTGTCCAACCAGATCCCTACGAGAAGTTCTGCAAGCAGGGCATGAGTGCAACAGCAGCCTTTCAACACGTGCTTCCCAACAACTGGGAAGACATATTTAGACCACGTTGCCTCTGACAGTAGAGGTAGAACATAGAATAGTGACTAGCAGCTACTGACACTGTTACCCTCCATGAATTTGTTGTATCTTCTTTTAAAGCTATCCAAGTTGGTGGCCAACACTGCCTCTTACGATAGCAAATTCCATCGTTTTCACTGTGTGCTGAATGAAGATGTCTGGCCCAAGTCTTCAAATGTTTAGGTACAATGGATGACTAGTGTTATGAAAGAGGCAGGAAAAGCTTCACTCTATGCACTTGCTCTTCACCATGCATAATTTTATACACCTCTATCATATCATCACTTACTTGCCTATGTTCTAAAGTGAAAGTGCCAAATGTTGTAACCTTTTCTCATAGGATTGTTGCTGTATCTCTCTGATTATTTCAGTTGTTCTTTTCTGAACTTTTCCCAGCTCTACAACATCCTTTTTGAGGTGAGATGACCAGGACTGTGAACAGTATTGTAAGTGTGGCTACACCATTTTGGCTGCCCCTTTTTTGAACCTATGTGCAACCTGTCTATTTGTAAATAAACACAAATAATACGAGATGTCCAAATTCTTGAAGAATTGAGGCGCAAGTTCACATCATAGTTCATGTAGCATCATACATAAGGAGCAGGTATGGCAGGGACAGGTAAGAAACAGAGGCTAAGGAAAATGGGAAGGTGTGATTGGGAGCAATGGGAGGGGAATATGATTAGGAACATCATGGGAGGCATGTTTCCAACTACCCCATCCTTTGCCCTTTGAAGCCTTCTAACAGGCATGGCCAAACTTGGTCCTCCAGGTGTTTTGGGACTACAACTCCCATCATTCCTAGCTAACAGGACCAGTGGTCAGGGATGATGGGAACTGTAGTCCCCAAACATCTGGAGGGCCAAATTTGGGCATACCTGCCTTATAAGAAGCTGCTGCAGGAGAGGGACTGTCAGCAACTAAGGAGAAACTGTGATGCTCGCTTGTTACTTTTGCTACTGGGTGCTGCATGTTGTTTAAGTCATAGTGTTCTATTTATAGTACAGTTGTACCTTGGTTCTCAAACATCTCGGTACTCGTATGTTTTGGCTCCCAAACGCTGAAAACCTGGAAGTAAGTGTCCCGGTTTTTAACGTTTTTCGAAAGCCAAACATCCAACACAGCTTCCGCTTGAGTGCAGGAAGCTCCTGCAGTCAATCAGAAGCCGCGTCTTGGTTTTCAAACACTTTTGGGAGTTGAGCAGACTCCCGGAATTGATTAGGTTCAAGAATCAAGGTTCCGCAGTATTGAAATGTAGCTTTTCGTATGTTGTTTTATTTTTGTTGTGCTATGTTTATGAAATTGTTACTGCTTTGCAATATTATTACAAAATTGTTACTATTTTACTGTTTTTGCCTTGCTATTATGAACTTGTTACTACGTTATTGCTTTCCTATGTTACTATGGAATTGTTACTCTGTTATTGTTCTGCTATGCTGTTATGAAATTTGGTAATGTTTGTTTGAAATTCATCCCTGTATCTTTGTCGCAAAACGCTCTGAGCATGATTTTTTTTGTAGGAAAGCAGCATACACTTAAAATGAAGGAATGAATGACTTCAATTACAGATACTTTAGTGGTTTAGTTACACTAAAGGTATAGGTACAAGGGGGGGGAATCCAAATGCTTCTTGGGAATGGCGAGTTTTGAGTAGAAACTACAAGCAAATAGGGGAGTAGATCACATAGAGGCAGTTCCAGGCAAAAGGTTCAACAAGAGAAATGGGTGGAGCCACTTCAGACAGCAGGGAATCTTGCTGAGGGTGGTGGCGCTTGAGTAGCAAAGGTCAAAGGAAGGGACCTGTCAGGGGATGTAAGAGCAGAGAGACAAGGAGGGACAAGGCCAAAGAAGGTTTTGAAGACATAGGTAAGAAGTTTGCAGTAGTTTAATCCACACCAAGCACTTGTGCAAAGTTGAATAAATAAGCTAATGTTCCATCCTGAACTTTGGGTTAGGGAGACCTACACATTAATGAACAAAATAAATAGCCCCACTAGACAGACAGAGGCACTATTGTCTAATCAGAAAATAAAATATCCACATGGCTGTAAAAACAGATATGAGAGTCACCAGTCCTCATTATGTAGCTAAGCAATTATAGCGAGGGAGGGGGGACAAGTCTGAAAAGCTTAGTATGTCCTTTTCACAAAATTGTTACATGTATGTGGACTTATTGAGACACCAACACATGATGTTTCCCAGGATTTAGTTTCTTTTCCTCCATTCACTTTATAGATCCAATCATTTCCAATCACTCATATCAAGATTCTCAAATAAAAGAGCCACTTGGATGGGTTGAAATATTTGACTCCTTACCATAAAAAAAAATTTAATGTTCATGCATGATTTGGGGAAAAGTTTTTACAAAGTTTGGTAATCCTAAATCAGATATAACCTCCTAACACACAAAACTGTTAAAGTGTCCATATGCTAGAATATCTTTCTAAATATATTACTGACTTCTTTTGATATAACTGACAATTTGTGGCAGCACTTTAAAAAAGGAAGAAGAAGAAAGATGCAGAGCCTCCTATACAGTATTCTGACAGCAAAAATACTATTTTGAAATTCTCTGCTCTGTCATTCAGATGAAAAGCCTACGTTGGAACATTATATTCAAATAAAATGGCTCTTCTGCTTTCTACTACATGCACACAAATGTTATTATAAATATCCTACAGACAGATAAGTGTGCTAAGGTATCAAGTGAAAATGTGTTAGTTTGAATCTGAGCCTAATTTTGTGAACTGAATAGTTTGAGAGGTGTGACTTTATTTGATAAAGAACTTGAAAGGGCAGGGGGTGTTTCAGAGTTCATGTTTCTCTTTTAGTTTTTAAGAAGCACGCATAGAATTACATGTGAAATATGTAAAGATATAGTTATCAGAGCAATTACTCTATAAAAATGACCTCCTGCTGTTTGATGCATAATCCCATCACAGTAACCATCACAACCAATTTAATTGCCTTAATCAAATCAAGTTGGGGAGGGACACATGGAGAGAATCTCACTGTTCTTTCTCCTTGATTGTTCATCATCACTGACAATAAAAACAACCTGTCCCCAAAGTTTAAATGGCAATCTACTGGCTGAGCCCATGAAGTTAAACACAATGCTACTCAGTCTTCTGCCTTTACCTGCTTCAGCACTGACAGGAAGACAAATCCTTTTTGTGTTAGGATGCTCAACATGCAAATGAGCTGAGAAATCACAGAAGGAGCAAATCTTTTACACCAGGCTTCCTCAACCTCCGCCCTCCAGATGTTTGGAGACTACAATTCCCATCATCCATGACCATTGGTCCTGCTAGCTAGGGATGATGGGAGTTGTAAGCCAAAAACATCTGGAGGGCCGAGGTTGAGGAAGCCTGTTTTACACCATGCGCAAATGTTTCCATGGGGGTAAGTTGCAGAGGGAAAAAACCACAGAAGCCTATCACAAGAGCAAAAAGTAAATCCTCCTGGACATGTCTTGGTACAGTCATTTTGATGTAATATTTATGTATGCATTTTGCCATCCTGCCATCCTCTAGGCTAGCATACAGTGAATGAACACACACTCGATGGAAACTGGCAGGACAGCTCCATGAACTATACCTGAGGTACACCTCAGACGGCATCCTTCAGCTTTGCCCTTCTGAACCTCTTGCTTCTTAAAAAAGTATAGGGAAAACAGTGCACATTCCAGCTGCAGAGAAAAAGAAGAAAACAAATAGTTAGAATTAAAAGCCCAAACTTTTGTTCACCTTACAGAAAACCCACCACTTCAAAAAAATAATCAGTATATGTGGCAAAGGATGCCGACATCTCTTATTAATGGAACAGACTGGCTGCAACAATTTGCTGACATAATGGAGCCATACTAATAATAAAACCCTAAATACTTTTTTTGTGGGTGCAAATTAAGATACAAGAAGTAGCATTAATAGAATACTCATCGCCTGATTGGTGCATTGCTTCCAATTTATCGGTGTTAATTTTATGTGTATACTACTTTCCCTGTGTGTTCAGATGCTTTACATGAAGCTGACATTGTGTTACAATATTAAAAAAGCCAGCCCAGAAAAAATAGTCTGCAATAACTCAATAGTTACAGCACAACAAATACTTAATATGATGCATAACTAATACAAGTGTTAGGTAAGATTCCACTAACAATTCATCAAAAAATATTAGAGCACCATTCAAAAATGGTTTGCAAATACAAAAGAGAAACAAAAATATTCCAACAGGAAGAGAAATATCTAATTAATACAGGTTATAACAAAATCAATAATCATTAAACAAATCCACAGGACAAAGTGCATAATTAAGAACCAACAAGACTACATTAAAATCCAATATTGACTTGTCCCTTTCACAAACTCGATTCATATGCTCCACCTGATTAAATATACCATCATATTATCATATTTTTCTTGCTTTCACCAGGGAAAAATACAACTAACTTTCCTTGTCCGCTCACAGGAGGTTAACAAATTGTGAGATTAAATTTTCCATTTAGCACAAAACCAGGGTCCGATTTGTGCTAAATGGAAAACCTATGACATACAATGTGTAGCTGACACAAGTCTCAGGACTCTAGGAAATCTGAAAAGCATTATTTATTCCATACACACACTGCTAGACAATTTTCTGTCTGTATGGCATCTTTTCCAAAAATTATTTCAGTACACTTCCAATCAGTTTTAACCTTCTGAAGTCTTAGCTGAGCAAAAGCATGAGCATTATAGCTTCAAACTTTTAAAATCTGATTTAAGGGCGGTTTCTTTAAATCTCCCCCCAAAAAACAACAACAACCCTGCAGGAAATTTTGCAGAGGCATTTTAATCCAAGGACTGGAGGGTTATTGCAGAGATTCCATAGTTCCTATTGGGTTGCCATTAAACTCATATTCTGAGTGCTCTTCATTTTTTTTTACCAGTTCACCTCAGAGCCCATATCTGTCTAGTAACCAAAAAGTCTAAGCCGCAGAGTTAAATACAGGAAGACTGCATACAACAAGGAGTGGCAACAAAGAGATAGAGCCAGAGTCAGATGATGCAAGTCCATCAGTAATTGTTCCCACATGAGCCTTACTAGGCGTGTCTGCAGATGTTTATTTTGAAGCTTCCCTTCAAGCAAAGGTGAAACAGTGTTTCCAGCCACCCTTGTTTTCCACGTTCCAGAACAGAAGTCTTTCAGCACCAGTATGTTTTGAAATGGGTTCACGCCTCAAGTGCAGAAAAATCAAGCAGTGAATATGCATATGTACGCATGCTGACCATAAGGCTTAACCTAACCATATGGCCAGAGGCTATAGATATCCAGCGATCTGCACAGCTGATAAGTTTTACATTAAAAAATAATATTTATTCTCAGAAATACAACAGGAAGCTCTTCAATGTCATTCTCGTCCTCACATCTGAGAATGCTCCACGTATGAAACACAGTGAAATGGCAGAATGCACTAAACCAAAGATAGCCAATTTGGTATCTCCATATGTTGCTAGACTACAGGTCCCATCATCCACTGTGCAGGCTGATGGGAGTTGTAGTCCATAACTATTGGAAGGGCCCCCGCATTGGCTACCCCTTGAATAAACCATTTCAGAGTATAGTAAAGGTGTCCCTGCAATCAGAAAGCAAGTACCGCAACAAAAGGACTGAGCTAGAATCCATATACTTAGTTTCCTTCATACAGAATTTTGTTTGTGTTTCATGTGGGGAAATATTCAAAAACTGTGCCCCACACTGGGAGGTTTATACTTCAACTTATGTCCTCCAAAAATCTATCACTTCATTTTATTTTATATGTAGACCAAGACTAACAGGAGCTAGCAAAGAGAAAAGCAGAGCTGACAACTTCAAGCATTGTGAATCCAAGTTATTTTTCACCTTTCAGAAGGGATTGTTGTCTGAGAGATGAGGTGGTCTCATTCTACGTATTTACCCCATAATTGTGCAGCCCCCCCCATCCATCACACCATCACTTTCATCATTCTATTAGACATAATAATATGTATATGCTGCGTAGCATATGCAAATGGGTTCTGCCCCAAAATCAGCATTTTGCACTATGTGCCAGCAATTTTAAAACTGAGAAAGTTCACAGAGGCACTACCTTCAGGGTTGCACTCTATTGATAATGTCAGCACGACCAGCAATTACTGTTTTAATAAGCCCAAGCATTCCCATGTAGAATATTTGATTCCAGCTGCTTTGATGTACTACACAGCAGTAGCAAACACTGCCCTGGAAAGGTTGGGCTGACTTGAAAAGCACATTCTGCTCCAGGAAGGACGTTATGACCAGATTAAAGCTACAAACCCACAGGCACAGCACATCCCATGAAACAAAAACACTGAGCAATTTCAATCTTTCAAAACCACTAGGAGCTATAGTGTAACTGATTTGTTAGAAAGCACAAATATTCCTTATTTGCTTTAGAAAGAGACAACAAACAAAATACCCTTCTATTTTTTAAAACCTTTGTTTTAATTATTTTATTGCTGAAAGTCATGCAGGTGACAGGCATTGAATATTCTCAGCAACAACACAGGAAAGATTTAAAAGCACAGTGGGGAGAACTAGAAAGCTAAAACTGTTTTTGTGTTATTTTTAAGCGCATAGTCAGTGCTGGAGGGTGTTAAGCATGTTAAGATCTATACTGTACACAACTGCAATAGAATTTAAACCTCGTGAATTTAAACATTTGCAACAGTTCCAGTTGGATTCACTTGCTCATTTTATTGCCAAGAGTTAGAAAAAGCCAGGAATCTGTCTACATTTATTCAGTATAAAGCACACAGTGATGGGAAATGTTTTAGACGTAATAAGGACACCAACCTGCCCACTAATGTTATGAATTCTTTTTATATAATGTCCATCAAGTTAACTGTTGTTTGACTATAAGTTTCAAAAATGTATTACTGCACGCAAGAACTAGGAATCACCGAGCGGTCTTCAAAAATGGAAATAAGAGTGGCTAAAGCAAACATCATTTTTGTGCTTTTGTGAATTTGCTGCCAAACAGGATCTCAGGTGTAGGAAGACAGCTGAAGGTCTATTTCCCTCTTCCCAACTTCAAAGCCAATGAAATTTATGGTCAAACATAGTGCTGACAATTGCATTTTTTGGTGGGTGGGGGTGGTATTTAGAGAGAATGTCCTGTTCATCGCCTATGAAAAGTGAAGGGAAATCTCATACATAGTATCCTTTATTATCAAATGCCAAGAGAGTTTACAAAATATATTTAAACAGCATATATTCAAAGCAACAGTAACTCAAAACATCAATGCAACAACCGCAGTAGGGAAACTAATCAAATAATCATTAGAATCTCCACTTAAATTACAAAGATGCATTCTGCACCCACATACAGAGGACTGCTACTTTCTCCCCCTTTTTAAAACAACAACAAATCTTGCTGCTGTACATTTAATGGTACCTGAACACATATGCTTAGCAGGTGATGCCTTTTTCCTAGCCCCTTAACTTCATGGCAAGAAAAGCATTGTGTGCTACATTTCTGTATGTCTAGGTACTGTTAAAAGGAACCAGAGGAGGACCATTAAAAAATATGGCAGGCCAAGTTATGTTAGCAATCCTGTATGGAAGACAGTGCACTACTATGGGAGCTCCCTGTCCGCAGATGGAAGCAGGGCACAGAGAAGGAAAAAGGAGAAGGACACAGAACACAGTAAGGGGGGGGGGCGGGCGGGATGTCAACAGCACTTACATAGCTGCTCTAATTCACCTTATTGTCCAAAATAGAGAGGTTGCTTAATATCTCCACCTCAAAATGTAGCAGGTAATGGGAAAGACTTCTGTCTGAGATCCTGAAGAGCCAGTGCCAGTCAAAGTAAATAAATACTAGGCTACATGAAAAATTAGGAAGTGATCTTCCTGTCTCGGTGTGGACGGAACAGGAGTATGACTTCCCCCTATTCATGTGATACTTATTCAGAGTTATCAAATCACAGCAAGAACCACCACAACCACAACTCCAAGGTGCCACTGCTCAACAGAGAGAACACAGCAGTTGCCTGGAAAGCGGTTGGGAAATGTACTTCTGTGCACAGTATTTTGAACTATACAGAACTAAGGAAATAAGCCCTGAGAAGAAGCAAGTATCGCCTGACTTCATTTACAGGAATCTGTCTTATTCCATGTCAGACTATGTGGCTACCTTGGCTACTATTTATTGTCTATTCTGTCTGGCAGCAGCTCCCCTGGATCTCTGGCAGAGGGAAATCTTCTCTGTCACTAGCTACCTGATTCTTTTAACTCTGGAGTCATCAGCGCGTTGCCAATGGATGCCTCACGGCAATGTTAGGGTGATTGCCAGGTTCCCCTCCATGCCCACTTGCTGAACAAAATGAGCTCTGTGGCTGCAATGAGGTTTGCTTGGACCTTTATGTCGGGCCTTCTCTGTCTGCGTGGATCTTTCCATCCCAATCGGACAGCAATGATTAGTATTTGGATTGGTGTGAGAGAACAGAAGAGGTGAGGGGTTCAGAGCAAGCTGAGCATTGGAGAGCTAGCAATTGTGACCCCTCTCCAAGTTCTCTTTCGGCCAGTCAAGTTAATGTCTGGTATTGGGAATTCTGCCAAGGGGGGGGGGGCATTGGAAAGGTCTATAGGGGAGTGCGCTGTGGGTGGGAAAGGGTTTGGCACTGTGTGCCTCTTTCACTATTGAAAATCAGA